CAAAATTACATTTCTATGAATAATGGTTAATATATGTCGGTATTTGATATTATCAGTGCTGATGCAGCTCCAGATTTTGTTTATATTTCCTATTTTAAAGTACATATATTTATACATTTTGACTGTTGTACTATAATGCTACATATAAGTACGGAGGAATTTTTATTTGGATTCTTATCAGTATCAAATCGTAGGATATTAGAGGAAGAATCCAAATGGTTCTTAAATAAGGAATAGAATTATTCTCTTATTTTATGCATTTTGCTGAGAAAGGAGCTTTTAAATATCTACACTTTTGATGTCCCTGCATATACTTTAGATAATAATGAAGACATTTTGGTACCAAATTCGGATGTTTTGATTATGACCTTACAATTTTTTTTTTTTTTTTGGCAATGATAATGCCCATGCCTATTAATAAGCCCATCTTTATGCTGTTCAGATGAGACTGTGAAAAGCAATGTACTGTTATACTGTAAAAGCATTTATTAGGTCATCTGACCCGAAGGGTCCGATGACCTATAGTCATCATGCTTCGTCTGTCGTCGTGCGCCGTCCTAAACTTTTCATTCAAACGACTTCTTCTCAAATACTAGAAGGTCTAGGGGGCTAATACTTGGCACAGAGGATACTGGCATGGAGCTCTACCAAGTTTGTTCAAATGAATGACCTTGACCAACTTTAAAGGTCACAGGGGTCAAATATGTTAAAATCTTTAAACAACTTCTTCTCATTAACCAAAAGGCTCAGAGTGTATATATTGGGCCTGTAACATGCTGGGATGAAGGACTACCAAGTTTGTTCAAATGAATGACCTTGACCCACTTTAAAGGTCACAGGGGTCAAATATGTTAAAATCTTTAAACAACTTCTTCTATAACCAAAAGGCTCAGATTGTGCCTGTGGCATGCTGGGATGAAGGGCTATCAAGTTTGTTTAAATGAATGACCTTGAACAACTTTCAAGGTCACAGGGGTCAAATATGTCAAAATCTTTAAATAACTTCTTCTCAAATACTAGAAGGCCTAGGGGGCTAATACTTGGCCCATAGCATGCTGGCATGGAGCCCTACAAAGTTTGATTTTGGCCCACTTTCAAGGTCACAGGGGTCAAATATGTTAAAATATACAAAGGACTTCATCTCAATAAGCAAAAGTCTATGATGCCGATAAGCACTGGGAGAAAGGCTACCAAGTTTATTATGAATGACCTCAACCCACTTTCAAGGTGTCAAATATGACGAAACAAGCAAAACATGAGTGCTGATATTGGGCCTGTAAGATGCTTGGAGGAGAGGCTACCAAGTTTGTTCAAATGAATGACCTCAACCCACTTTCTAGGTTTGGCTTGCTTTTTGTCAGATGACCGTTAAGGCCCATGGGCCTCTTGTTTTTGTGGTGGGTTATATTTGTTGAGTTCATAAGTGTTCTTATCCCATGAATTTATATATCCTCAAAATGATACTCAGAAAAAGGCAACATACAATATACCCAGGTAGTACTAGCAGATTTTGTGAGTAATAGTTAAAAAGAAAAAAAACATAAACAGAAAGTAAAATTTTTGGAAAACCACAAAATTTATCTCCCACAAAAATGATTTTACAATAATCCCTCCCCCTGACTTTGATTGAAAAAAGATTCATTGACCCACTGGAACTTCTGCAAGATAAATGAAGATTTTATGTGTGTGTTTATGTTTGTCTTTTTAACAACATAAAAGGAATGGTGTGGATGTTGATGAGTCAAGGGTGGGCTTATCAAGATGAATTATGGTATGCCAGTACATTACATGAATGCTGCCATATTGATTCTTTGAAAAGCGGTTGGTAAATCGTCAACGTTTTCCGTGTACCTAATTTAACATTTATCTGTAAATATTCTGTGTTTTACTCTCATGAATTGTAGATACACTGCATGCAGTACCGCAAACTCCAGACAAGATTATAGGTTTTACCTAAACAGCCGTGGTTCAGTCAAACTCATTTTGATGTTCAGACGGAATCTAAAGTATAAATATGTCTGAATATCGTGAAAAACTTTATCGTATTTTCTGCTATATGTGTCACAGTGGAAAATAATGGATACTTTTATATATTTATTGTTATATAGTTCTTAGATACACTCCAAAGTGTCTCCTATGAATCTTGAATGTGTGATGATCATGCAAAGAGGCATGGTCGTTAAAAAGATATGAATATTGGTATTGAGGGTGAGGAATAAAGAAATGAATATTGGTATTGAGGGTGAGGAATAAAGAAATGAATATTGGTATTGAGGGTGAGGAATACAGAAATGAATATTGGTATTGAGGGTGAGGGGTAAAGAAATGAATATTGGTATTGAGGGTGAGGAATAAAGAAATAAATATTGGTATTGAGGGTGAGAGATAAAGAAATGAATATTGGTATTGAGGTTGAGAGATAAAGAAATGAATATTGGTATTGAGGTTGAGAGATAAAGAAATGAATATTGGTATTGAGGTTGAGAGATAAAGAAATGAATATTGGTATTGAGGGTGAGGAATAAAGAAATGAATACTGGTATTGAGGGTGAGGAATACAGAAATGAATATTGGTATTGAGGGTGAGGGGTAAAGAAATGAATATTGGTATTGAGGGTGAGGAATAAAGAAATAAATATTGGTATTGAGGGTGAGAGATAAAGAAATGAATATTGGTATTGAGGGTGAGGAATAAAGAAATGAATATTGGTATTGAGGGTGAGGAATAAAGAAATGAATATTGGTATTGAGGTTGAGAGATAAAGAAATGAATATTGGTATTGAGGTTGAGAGATAAAGAAATGAATATTGGTATTGAGGTTGAGAGATAAAGAAATGAATATTGGTATTGAGGGTGAGGGGGCGGGATAAAGAAATGAATATTGGTTTTGATGGTGAGAGATAAAGAAATGAATATTGGTATTAAGGGTGAGGAATAAAGAAATGAATATTGGTATTGAGGGTGAGGGGTAAAGAAATGAATATTGGTATTGAGGGTGAGAGATAAAGAAATGAATATTGCTATTAAGGGTGAGGAATAAAGAAATGAATATTGGTATTGAGGGTGAGAGATAAAGAAATGAATATTGGTATTGAGGGTGAGGAATAAAGAAATGAATATTGGTATTGAGGGTGAGGGTGAGGAATAAAGAAATGAATATTGGTATTGAGGGTGAGGAATAAAGAAATGAATATTGGTATTTAGGTTGAGGGACATATGAAGAAATGAAAATGAAAAGGGAACCTTTGAATATTTGATGGTAAAGTAAAAGATCATATCAAGGTTTATACATGATAAAAGCTGTTTGTTTCTTTGCTTGGTTTATCATCTAGTAAACAGTCATGGCCATTTTGAGGCAGGGTCTTGTAGTATCTGGTGGCTACCTCACTGAACAACATACAGGAGACCTGTTGCATGCTGTCCAGTGCAATACGGGTAAAGTGTCTTGCCCAATGACACAACCACGCCAGCACAGACTGGTCTATTTTTCAGCTTCTTGAGAAATACTAACCATTACTGGTAGGGAGTGTAGATTGAACCTTACACCCCAGATCTGTACCTGAAGTTAGGTAGGCCAACACTCTGACTGAGCTTTGATGCCCCTCTGCATTGTTATTGGTACTTGATATATGTATATACCTGTAAACATATACAAGGTTTTACTGTAAATACAGATACACATTTCAAGGCTTAAAATGAAATGGTTACAGTAATGGAGGGCCCGTATACTGTTTTCCTTGATCAGCACATATACAATGTATTTCTATAGTGTCTGATGCACATTTTATCCCCACTGATGGGACTCTCTGTAATAGATTGTCTGTCCGCCACAGACGATAGCATTAGAGAGTGTTGGGTATCAGTAATGGATCGTTGTCTTTGCCCATCAGACGGAGAAAGTATGATAATAGGGCTCGATGCTAATATATATATTTGGAAATAAAAGCAAAGATGGAATTCAGTAATGAAATTCAGTATCATGGGAGAGTTGATTTCTGGCTCTGTTTGACAGTGGTGGAGAAACTGGACACGTTAACGAACTCGAACACATTACATTGAAAGCTTTATTGCAATGACTGTTTTGCAAGGACTAGTAGTTATTCTATAAAAACATTTATTTCATTTGTTTTACATTACAAAGAATAAAGAAATTTAATTCTTTGATGCAAAATCTCATTTTAATTTTGCTCTCCGATAGTGCAATATTCATTTTCATTGCAATTCTAATTATCCTCATTTGTTATTGATTATAACGATAATATAATTATTTGTTGATGAAATCTTTATATTGCCAGCAGTTTTGTCATAAAAAAGATATGATATGTGAGAAATAAAAGAAATATTTACACAGTATGTAAGTCATTGTTGGGGGTAGGGGGTGGGTATGTATTCATTATCACATGGTTGGCTATTTGATGGCTTAGCTCTGTATCCATGATCTGTGGTCCATTTGTAAACAATCCTTGTTTTTGCCTATTTCTTGAGAAGCACAAGTCATACATAGGTTTCTCTTGGTTCCTAGTTGTGCCTATCCAATATTGTGTCAGATTACGGAAACAAAATGGCTGACAGAGGGCCATCTTTAATTTTGACATTTGAAGGTTGTTATGGTTTTTCCTGAGAAGGTCAGGATGGATCTTTCTCCATTTTCACTCGTATGTTCCCCTTTGTCCCTAGTTTTGAACATTTGATTTTGAGTCTGATCATATAAACAAATGACCCACAGGCAACCTCCTTTGAATTAACTATTAAAGAAAAGAAGGGAAAAGACCAAATTTTTAAAGAAGAAATAAATTGAGACCAAACAAGGCTTGGTGCCAAGATCCGTCTGTGATCTCTTGTAAGTGTGGAAGAAGATGATGAAATGTCACATAATGTGTTTCTTCCTGCATCAGATTATAGCATTCCTTTATGATTTACAACTAATGTGTATGTTTGCAGAGTTTTCTTGTTTTTTTTAAGATAATAATGTAAATGTGAAATATTTTTGTATTTTTAGACCATGGCTGTCCTGAACCCCCTTAAGCAGACAGACAGTACAATTATGCAGGACACTGACCTTGCAGGACCTTTTGTCTTCTGTCTGGCATTTGGAGGATCACTCATGCTGGTAAATATCACCAACACTTTATTTAATTGTTCACAAAAAAAAACATACATATATATATATACATAATTTTCTGTATATATTTCTACATATCTATATATCAAATAAGGCAGGTGCTTGGATTTAAATTTATTGGTTTCAATGTACATAACATAAACTTTATTTATTTTACAATAATTTTGAAACAAATTATTCCAGTACTAACTCTTTCTGACCTGAATGGAATCGCACAAGAAATCTTACTATAGGAGACAAAACTCATGTGGTGGGGCTGGTGGTCCCTTACGTTTTTTAACATCCATACAAGGAATCGAACCTAGATCATCTAGGTGAAAGATAAGTGTGTAACCACTGTGCCATGTGACCATCAGTTAAATGTATTCAAAGAATACTGCAATAGGCTCTATCCATGTCTATTGCTGTTTCAAAGAATTAAAAAAATGCTATTCATAGTCCTGCAATAGCCCCACCCCATGAACTTTGGTCAGAAGCTTCCAGATAATGAATGTGTTGATTGACACCAAATAAGCTAGATAATACAGAATAGTAAGGATGGTTTGGGAACAGCTGCTCAGTCCAATAGAAGGACTAGAGAGAGCAGGTTGTTATCACTGAAAGGACCATAAACAAAAGCACCTCATTGAAATGTCATGGTCAGCATCTGGACCTCATTATTTGATGTCCAATCACTATGGTCAGTGTCACCAGCTCTAGTGTTGACAATCCTTATCGCCATCTTGTGGTCAGCTTGCTGTCACTATGGTCACCATATGGTCAGTGTTATCATTGCCTAGTTTTCTTGTGGTTCTCCAGGATTTAGATTAGATTTATAGTTTCCATAGTGATAAGGTTTAATTTTCACAAAATCTGTCATTAATTGGTTAATGGTCCTAATTTTCTGTCAAAGAATGATCCATGTGAGAATTCGAAAATAGATAAGTGGTTTCAATTAGAAAAATACTGATTGAAAATGAAGTTAATATCAAAAGATTTTGTGGAATATTTTTAAGTCAAAACAAAAATACAATAGACAGAGATAGATTATTGGTCAGAGTTGATGTCTAGGTGATTGATCCTCTCATCAAAATTGACCACTAGGACATTTCTGTTGACCTATTCTTTAATTAGCTAATTCCTAATTATGATGTCTTTATAGGATAAACTGACCAGATCACTGAACATGATACAAGTTTGATGTCTTATAGGAAATTGTCATTTTGATTTATGAAGTGAAGTTTAAATTTCAGAATTTCAAAGAAAAAAATATATTTGCAATTAATGTCGAAATGTTTTACAGCATACCTGAAGATGGTAATTTTGTGGGGACAAATTTTTTTTTTTTTTTTGCATTTAATATCATTAAAATAATATGTGATTCTTACAATGTGTTAAGCCTAACAAAGCTTGATACAACATCAACCCAGGACATTCTCCTTGTATGGTTTCTAATAGGATGAACTGGACACATGCTGGACAGCAGTGTGAGATGACTAATTGGATTGTCTCATCTCATTCTTCACACCAGAATTAGTCAGCTGGAAATAGTGGCTATCATTATAGACAAGTCATTGTTAAGCTTTGTCTCTGATCATTCTAATTTAGGATTAAATTGTATCGTCAACAGATGATATTTCCTGTTTAAAAATAGCAACTTTCATTGTGTCAGTTCAAAGATCCAGGATGTCATACCTTAAGACTATATCATACAATTATGTTTACCTCTTTGATATAAGAGTTCCAAGCTTACCGGGTATATTGCATTAATATAAAGACTTGTTTAAGGAATCTGTATGTGACATCTTAAGGCTATATCATATAGTTATGTTTACCTCTTTGATATAAGAGTTCCAAGCTAATACTATAGTATTATAAAGTCTTCCACTGTGTTTGTTCAAAGATCCTGTATGTGACACCTTAAGGCTATATCATGCTGTTAAATTACCTCTTTGATATAAGAGTTCCAAACTATTGCTAATGCTGAACAGCCATGAATGCTTCCTGTTTAATATGAATAATTTCAATTCATAGATTATATATGTCCAACTTCAGGATATCAGCTGCTTTATTGTAAATTCATCCTGTCATCTTTACCTTCTGTATATGACACTTAAGGATATAAGCTACCGTACTAATTATGCTCAATTCCTTGCTTAACAGAAGTGCAAGCTGTTATCCATGTATGCAAAACATGCTCTTTTCGCTAATGGTTTTAATTTCCTGTGACATGTCTGTTGTTGCTTGTGAGACAATGGAGTGTTAATGTTCACATACCTGATATATTGTGTTGTATGTATGCTTGCAGTAAAACCCTGAGAGATGTGAGATTGCCTACAGATAATTATTCTCAGATTTCAGGACTGTGAAGGATATGTTTTGTTACAGTCATCCAAATAAGATATTCATTATCGTAAAAAAATCTGAAAAGTTGTAGCAATTATGAACAAAATTAAAATTATAACTTATAATTATAATTGACAGCAATGTTTGAAAGAAGAATTTTTATTACAGGCTGGGAAGCTACAATTTGGATATATTTATGGGATTGGTGTTGTGGGGTGCCTTGCCATGTACAGCTTACTGAATCTGATGAGTATAAAAGCAGTGTCAGGGGGTTGTGTCATCAGCGTCCTTGGCTACTGCCTCCTTCCCATGGTCATCCTTTCATGCTCCGCAGTGGTCTTCTCCTTAAAGTAAGTATTTATCAGTTCATATACATCACAGGAAAACCTGTCCATAAGGACCACTTGTCTAAAGACCATTTGTCTGTAAAGTGTGTTCCACCTATTTGTAAGACCATTTAACTGTAAACTGTGCTTGTCTGATAGTGCTCACCTGTCTAAAATGACCACTTGTCTATAAAAACAACCTGTTTTTAAGTTGTTTAAATGTCCTTACTACTCACTTGTCTATAAGGCTTTTAAAGAATACATTTATTTGAAAATGATGGTGTTAATATATGCATGTAATGAGAACCTGTCTACAACAGACAATTCCCTATTGTGACATTATGACAGTCATTTCTATCGGGTAAGTTGGGTTGGTCAGCCATGTAATCATTAGATATATAAAGGGAAATAACTCCAACAAATGTTTTACTATCTCCAGTACATAAAGCTATTACGATATATCAGGGGAGACAACTCTAAATGTTATGAGGCTTATTCATTATTACTTAAACAGTTGTTGTAAAATTAGAGAAAAAATCAAAGTTGAATTTCCTAAAACAGTACAGCATGTATTCATTTTTATTGCTTTCTAGATTTTCCATTTTTTTTAGTGTACAATACAAAATGATTGGAATATACTTTTCTATGCTATTTGCACATAGTTGATGCCAAAATATTCATCCATACTTAATGTTTTATGTATTTTACTCAGTTAATAACAAGATAAAAGCAGGCTTACTCTCACTTTCCATATATATTACACAATTATTATAAACTGTTCAAATTGTTCATTTTTTAGGGGTCTGCTTGGTATTGTGCTGACAGCAGTGGCGGTGATCTGGTGTAGTCTGTCTGCGTCTAAGTTGTTTGTGTCGGCATTGTCTATGGATCACCAGCAGCCATTAGTGGCCTATCCCTGTGCCTTAGTGTACGGGGTCTTCGCTTTACTCACAGTATTTTAAAATATGATGTCTGTCTTCAAACCATAATTTCTCGTTAAAAACTTCAGATTAAAATGTTTCGTTATCCTTTTTTTTTCAAATTCTGAAAAATCTAAAGTTCAGATTGATTTTTAAATTTCTACAGAAAAATCAATTGTGTGAGTAATGCAATGATTGTGGCCATGAATTTTTTAAGAAAAATAATTTTTAAAATAACAATTTGCCTTCTCACTTTTGTTGTATCTAATTTTACTGGTATAATGTTTAGAGAAATCATTTGAATTATCTGTGAAATTATAGAATTTGATCAGATGTAATAATGATTAGAAAAAATATTCAATCTAAAGTTGATGTTGAGAAATGAGAACTTTGGGTTAAGACTTACTGTAGTGATAGTGTGCAATATTTTTTGTCTCATAGCAGTAAGTGGACATGTAATCTCTTATGAATTTGAAGAATCAGCATCACAACATGAAATGACCTATGTAGGGGGAGGTGAAACGTCAAGAACCTTTCACTGACAAGGAAATTAAGAAAGGGGTTTGTGAAGGATTTGTGTCATATTCTAAGATAAATCTTAACCTTGTTGTTGACAAAATTTTAAATGTAGCCAGGTATTATTTTTATGCAAGTTTATTAAAAACCTCATACCTTTGTCCAACAGGGAAACAGAAGATCATCAGATATATCTTTCTTAGTCATGTGTGAATGATGTGCCATTTTGTAAAATTTCACTGTAATTCCTGTTTGTAGGATTTTGTATTGATGCTTTGCTGGTGTAAACTTGGAAATTTACAATAATTTTAATATTATACAAACCATATCTGCATCAATATATACTGTTTTTTTTTTTTTTATTAATTGAGTGAATTTGTGATTGTCGTTCATACCAAAACTAATGACGACTCCACATGTATTAGAATTAGTTTCAGGAATCAATACTTTCACACTGTATAGCCATTTTCTAGAACTATAAATTAAAATCATACAATGTACAGCTTTTTACATACAGTTGCTGCGATTCAGGTCAGCCCTGTGGATTTCTGTTTATTTTCAAGTGCTTCTCAATTCATTTTAGTGCATGGATGAAAGCTTGAGACACTTTGGGTATGTAGTGTGGGGTTGTTTGATGGTAAAGAGTCTTTCTTGTTGTAAAACAGATGATCATGACATTTGGTGATAATAAAACATTTGTAATAATTATTTGTTGTTTCGCATCTTTGAAACCGGTAGTTACATGACCGAGAAAACCCCTCTTCTGTGATTGTCTCCTAGTTTTCCAGCAGGTTTTGATAAATTGTAATGTTAACCTGAAACTGGGGAATTTTCGCATGAGAGATTACCATCACAAATTGATAACCTGGTATAAAAATAGTAACAGGGTTTTCCATAATGTGATGTTATTATCACAAATATGATAACCTACTGTAAATTTGTGGGTATTGTGGGCACTCGGGTATGGCACGCACTCAGGTATAGTGCGATAGTACATTTTTGGGGTCACATTTTAAAAAAAATATATATAAAAAGGTAAAAGTATATATAAGATAAATATGGATTACCGGTTACCATGGTGCAACAGTTAATGTTTGGATTCATCAATAATTAGGAAAACGTAATGACCCAAAGAATTAATTATCTTATGTAAACAACTTGAAGCAGTTGCCTGACAACCCACATGGAAGGCTAGGCTAATCTGATAATTAACGGTTTTTGACAGGTAGCACTTTGAGTATTAGGAGATTGACAACACCTGGCTCACGCTGAATGTGTGCTATTGGTCAGAAAAAGATGTTGTTTTAACAGTCTGAAAATGTTCAATCCTATGGTGTCCCCATAAAAGCAGGTGATATGTTCAGTAATGGTAGTCTGAAAATAGTAACATAGAATTTCCTTGGTGCGTTATACTTTCCATGAAAGAGAAGGCTATATTTTGTTTTTAATGCATTTTAAATGAGAATGCCTATAACCATTGGAAGGTGATAATCTCCTCTGTCTGTGGCTGATGGTAAAATCACATTTCTAAAGTTGATAAATCCTCATATTAACCTACAAAAATTCAATAATTGTATATTATTAAGACATACCCAATTAAATTATCACTAAATGCAACCACTTGTTATCAGTGTCAATACACCTATTATGTATATTGTGTAATGCCCTAGCTTGTAACAATACCTGGTAGAACTGTGGTGAATATAGCCCCATTGTTTTAAATGTGACTTGATGATGTTCTAAGCATTGTAGCTTCAATAACAGTCTAATGAATGCTGTTTTCATCATTTCTAACAAAAATATCAAAATTATGCGATGAAACAGGATCTCACACCAAATGCAGGGAATTTTTTTTAAAAAGACTTGTTTTATAAAAATTCTCACATGAAATGAAAAGTTAAGTAAGAATCTCTGTAATATTGATATCAGTTTGTTAATACTGTATTTACATTTTAACTTGGCAATGCACCACACACTAGATACATATATATCAATTTTTAACAACAAAATCTATTTCTTAATCACAAATTATTTAAAACTCTCAATTCTTTATGACACATCGCTGACCAACTAATGACAATATTTGATATCCTGTTCATTTCCCCACATCAACATGAAGCGTTTTTAAATTCTTACATTTTTTGTATCGATATGCCTGATTTTGTACCTTTTTTTGTTTAATATGCTGATGAAAGCAAAGTTGACATTTTCATTGAATTTCTACATAAAAGAATTTGAATAAGATAAATGAATCTTTTGCAGACTCTGTAACTCAGTTTCAGTGATAGTTGCTAATTTGGTGTTTTGAGAGTTTACTTTTATGATCTGGTTACTGTAAAATTATTGATTTTTGTGAGGGATTAATTTTCATTGATTCTGTCAGTACCCTTAATCCACATGTTTATATGTCCAGGAATTGTTAGAATAAGTATAAGTAGATTTTTAGAGCTACTTGTATATTATATTAGTTTTTTCTTAAACCATGAAAATTAAGCTCCAGTAATGTAAACCAGTCCTGAAGAGCAGAAAAAGTTTCTGAAAATCAGAGTGAAAATTCTGAAGATTTCTTTCATACTAAACAAGTCTTATCTGATATGCAGACTTAGCTGTTTAATAAAGTTGATATATAACTGTACTTTTATATTTAAAAAGAAAATTTTATGATTAATCATGACTCTGATAATTGATTTGGTATTTAATTTTCAGTTCCTTAACAAGAAAGGCATATTTTGCAATGTTTAAAATCCGATCAATAGAAATTCACAATTGAATTTTAATTATTATAGTGCATAACTACTGATGAAGGAACAGACAGCCATCATAAATTTTCAATAAGACTTCAAAATTTCAATGTCATTAAAGACATGTCAGCAGAATCGTAATTAATACTCAAATTGGATGAAACTAGGGCATGAATAAATCAAGAGTTACACGGAGACCCCCTTGTCAAGTAAAACGAGAATAAGACCAGATCTTCCGGAAGGTGTTTTCTTCTTGCCATTTAAATCTTGGTAAATTCAAATAAGTAGTGTCACTTTCAAAAAATGAGAACAAGGTTAAATATGATGACATTACCAAGCATTCTAACCTTTATCACAGACGTTCAACTTCATATCGCACTCGTCAGCTGTCGACATCTTGCATAGAAATTGTGATAATGGGGAAAAAACCATTGAATATCAAATCAACTGCGTCATGTAAACAACAGACTTGGGTAGCAGGTTTGTTGCTATCTAGAAATGTAAAGTTCACAATAATGAAATCGTAACCTGAGTCTGTTTCTGTCAAACTTTTTCCTGGTGTCAGAATACGAGTCATTTCGCAATGACAAGCTCAGCGCTTTCACACTGGTTTATTCCTGACAAAATGAAAATTAATATCGAAAAACCACGAAAACAATCACTCTTATATTTTGTGAACCTCGAAAATTCGAGCCACCGAAGAACCACGTTAACAAACCCTATTACATTTCATAAAATCTAAAAAATTCGAGGCATTTACAAAATCTACAACACAATTTTTGACAACAAGATGGACGTTCTTAAAACACAACCAGTAGATCAAAGTGTGGTGTTTTGATGACTACACGGTCACCTTTATCAGACAGACGACCAGCGTGAAGTGTATTAAAAACTGACGTATGGAGTGTACAAGATGAAGATATGGTTTGAGTTCTAATTAAAAAAACGCCAAGAATTGAGTTTGATTAATGATAGATTTGTATGTCTTACATCCAATCAGCTTCCATAATTAGCTTTCTGGAAGCTTGTTCCAATGTGCGTGTTTAATATACAATGTATGTCTCTGTCAACATACAACAGTTTCACTGAAACTTTTTACAGTTGTAATGTTTCTTTCAATTTTCAGTTTGTCACGTCAAAATTTAGACATTTGGAGTTTCTTTATCGTGGGAAGGATATGTATGCTAGTTGGTATTTAAACATGATTTAAAACTATGAAAGGACGTATTGACCACGTGCAGTCTTCATACAATGTATATACCTCTCCTTATATGGATATAAACTGACTTTGTCCTCTTGTTAACTTCGCCACACATAATACATTAACTGATATCAATTCCTTTCCCTTGTTTTGATGAAGAGTAGATCTCTACGTTTTTTCAACATTGTTCGGATTTACTTATATTCCAGAGTAGATCGCTCTGTGAAAGCGTTGTATGAAATACCTATTAAACGCCCATGCTCCTCCCCGTCACTTGCAGAGACCCCCAACTTTGCGAAGTCACTGACATGATAAGACACGTGTACGTATCACATGTCATATTTCAATATTCTACTATCTTGTGATTTATATTACAAATATTGTTTTATGTTATGAATTTTCAAAATATTGAAATTCATATTGAAGAAATTGAGTTTTGTACAACCCTTGTGTTTTATATTTAATATCCTCTTGTCAAATATTCAACACAAAATTATTGAACAAAAATCACACGGTGTTGCAATCTTTTTACAAGCCATAACCTTCGTTGATGATTTACGGTAATATATTTACATTTCTAAATTTTTCATATTTCTTCTGGAGAGGAGACCAACAGTACCAACATATCACTTTATCATACTTTTATCTGGAATTTGAAAACTAATGTATTTATCCACAAGAAAAGTTAGTTAGTTTTGTTGATGTATTCGGTTCATAAACATCTATTGTTTATGTGATCTACTCTTGAGGGATGTAGAAGATATTTTGGTGGTGGTGTTTTCCGATTGTCACTTCAAATCAATTAATCTGTGGTCAAATAAAGGTCTAGTGTTGTGTAATATTAACATATCCTTATTAAAGAATATTTTGAGGTCATTTGCATTTATATTGATAAAAACGATATCACATTTCTCAAAGAAATTATTTTTATATAAATCTCCGTTTTGATTTCGTTCTGATCTTATCAATGTTTGATTGTCTATGAAGAGAAAACGCTATTATTGTGATCATTTTACTTGATAAAACATGATTTAGTCGTTGGCGATGACCGGTTTTGATAAAAAAAAATACTCTGTAATATGAATGGGTAAGACTTAATTTCGCTGATATACATTGTATCTAAGGCTAATTGTTTCTGAAGTGTCGTGCGGTCGTGCAAAGACAATACCGTCATGCTAGAAATAACATAATTTGAAAATAATTTTATAGCTGATGACTGTTTGAAGAAAATCTATGATATACTTAGATTTGAAAATGTGACCAAAAACATACGAGCTTGCCAGGATTCGAACCTGGAATCTTCTGATCCGTAGTCAGACGCGTTATCCATTGCGCCACAAGCCCTCTTCATACGGCTACCGGTACCCATTACTCAAATCACAGGGGGACAAATAGAATAACAAAAAATACTCGTTAATCATGTTTCGTTTGTTCTGCTTTATTTGTTTGTTGACGTTGAAGTTAATTGCTAAATACACTATACAATATCTAGCCGGAAGGTTTTCCCCCTCAACACATCAAATTTGGAAAATAAAAAAAAAGAAAATTGTAAAATGCTCTATTGCTATAAATTCATGAAGATATGACATCTACCCTAAAGTGTCACTTTTTTCACGGATGGAGAGGAAACTCGTCTGATACGTTACAGCTCGAATTTCCATATATCAGATATAACAAGCCAAATGGCTATGTTGTCATTCCTCAAATTCAGAAGTCTTTCTCCCAATAATACAAAAATAAAAGCGAATATATAAATAAAATCCATG